TGTTAGCTAACACGTCCTAATATTTTTTACTTATAATTATTTCATCAACTTGTTTTTAATTAGGGATAAAAAGAAATATCGAATTGTTGAAATATCATGTATATCATACCTAAAAATATTAAAATATATCAAAATTTTAGTACACTATCAACATATAGTTTAATATTTTCAGTATACCGTATAAATTTTTTATTCTTGGTTCATTTTTCGATATATACTGATAATTTGATATATTGATATCAAAATTAGTTTTATTTAATTTTTGTATTTATAAAGTTATTTTAAATTTTGGTATTTCGTCGTGAAACAATATTTCTACTCATTCGGTATACACCCATAAATTATTTGTATAAAAAATAATTAATGTATTTGTTTTGTTTTTTGAATTTCACTACCAGAAAATTATGCTATAGTTGCGGTAAAAATAATCACGGTTTTAATACAAATTGGTGACTTTTTACTAAAAATTCACGAAAAAATATACGCAACCATTTCCGTGGAATTTTGCTGGTGACTTTTTCTTAAATGGTGACATTTCTGTGACAATAAGTTATAGAATAATACCATGACATATCTATGACTTTATATAGCAACAGAAGCTGCAACAAAATTTTATGAATATTTTATAATAGTGACATTTTCGTGACAATAAATTATAAAATAATATCATTACACCTCTGTGACTTTATATTAACGAAAAAAATATATATATAATTATATTATAATTTTTGTTCAATACAACCACGCACGATTATTTTTTTCGGAATTACTTCGTACCACACTATTTTTCCCAATGACCTTAGGTTATGTTTGGTACAAGAAATGAGGCCATAGAAATGGAAATGGTCTCGGATAAATGAAACTTAAAGAAATAAATCATTTCTATTTCTCTGATTTCATTTAATCTGCAACTAATGACCTTATAGTTATTATAGACTTATACAATTTGTCATGCCAACTTAGCTATCTACTCTAAAGTATTAATTTTTGTTTGTTATTATATTTTAACTATATAAATATTATTGGTTATAAATTTATCATTTAACAAAATATATATATTTATTTAATATATCATTATGAATTTTCAACAAAAAATTAAAGTTTGTCTATTAATATAAAAAATTAAATTTATTTAACATATAGTATTTTTTTAGTATTAGAGTTTTTGAATTTCATCTATTGTCAATAAATTATTATTATTTTTTTTAACTCAATCATTTTTTTTAAAAAAATCTATCATATAAATTTTCAAATTTAACAATATATTTAAAAATATTATCGATATGGTAACTATAAACAGTTAAATATTGGTTTATGTTAATATTTGCAATAACTTAAATAAATATAGGAGTATTAAGATTTTGCTAATATTTAAGTACTTAATTTTAAACAGTGATGAATAGTTAAAAAAATTATTCAATTACAATACAAGTAAAAATAAATAAAGATATTGAAGATGATTTTATTATTTTGTTATTACTTTAAATAGCTACGAAAGATAATAAGAAAAATTTATAGTTGTTTTCGTCACTTATGTTGTGACATTTGATTTTAAAAAGTCACGGAAATTATACCATAACAATATTTGTAATAATTTAAAATATTGCAAATATTTTGGTTATTTTTGCCGCAACTTAGAATAGTCAAGAAAAAATTCCGTGACAATTTTTGTAACGAAATAGTCAAAAGACACGGAATAGAAATATCTTGGACATTTTCGTTACATAAGTCGTTACTTTAAATAGGTTATGAAAAGTTGTTTGTAACTTTTTCTGCAAATATTACTTACGGAATAGTCAAAGCAAAAAGTTGTGACATAAATTTGTTACGAAATTACTTTCCGTGACTTTTAATTGTCGCGGATTAAAATTTGCGACAAATTTTCGCAATTATCAACATTTTTTCTAATAGTTGAAGTGTGTGTATGTTATGTATTCGGTTGTATTTTTTTATACGGGAGGGATTGGGTGCTGAATGAAAAAATTCAGTTTCATTCAGCACCCATGCTAGCACTTAGAATTAATTATTTTAATTTATATAATTAATTAAAATAATTAACATAATTCTACATCATCAAATTGTAAGTGCTCAGCATGGATGCTGAAGTTTTTCATTCAGCACCTAATCCTCACCTTTTTTTATATTAGGTATTGAAAATCATGTTGACAATATAAAATACTTTTTTCATCCAATTTGAAGGTAAATATTTACTATATTTGGTAGTTAAAAGTAATGTAAAGATAATTTTATCTTTTTTTTTTTTTTTTTTTTTTGTCAAAGTAATGATGTAATGGTAAAATGAAGGTATTTTATAGAAAAATCAAGAAGAAGATATTTTTGAAATTGTTATTTGTAATTTGACAACAAAAACTAGAAATATATGTAAGTGGACAGAGGAAGTATAATTCCGGTAACGTTGATCATAAACATCAAATTATCATATATGCATGTACTTATATGATTATATTTTTGTACGACCACAACTAAGATCTTCATGTACTTGACAAAATCCGGAGTCGTTGGGGTTTGAACCCACGACTTTACGGTAGTTAGTCCATTCCACACCATTAGGTCATTCTTTATATGACGAGGATTAATGGTTTCATTTTTGAGTTAGGCACACGTTGATTGTGTTTTGAGGCGTTGTTTCTTGGTCGATTCCCTGATGTCTGGTTGGTTGGTTTGTGTATGGGTGTAATATGTTAGAAAATTATTATCTTGCGACTATATCAAATTATTATCGAAAAAAATAAATTTCAATATCATATATAATATATCGAAATAAATTCGATAATTACATCGAGTCGAGGTAGAATTTCTCTCCGTAAAAACGGATACACCCCGATAGTACTTCCGGTTTATGGCGCAATATTCCCAAAAATAAAACGACATTTGTTTCCGAATTAGATGGCACCATAATATTTCGGAGCTCCGGCAAACTAAAATGAGGTAATTACACACCGTGTCGGGAGGTTAAAGCCAAAAAAGATGCCGAAAAACTCGCAGAAAACTTTGCTGGAGAAGAAAAGACTAGAGAGGAAGAGCAGGGAGAAAACTCTCATTTGTGTTGGTGTGTAAAGAAATGCGTGTAAAGAGGGCACCTCCGCCAATTTCCCAAGTCGAAACCTCCGGCATTTAATGGCCGGTCATAATACTGGTAACGTTTGACCATAAACATTGAATTTAATTTCGATCATAAATATATTATTTAAATTTTGAATTGCAAAATTAAAATTTGAATTTCAAATAATTATTTATCATATATGCATCTCCTTATATGGCTATGTTTTTGTTGAACAAAATAGTTTTTCTTAGGCTTCAACAAAATAATTTATTATCTCAATTTTGGCTCCGAAGCATACTAGAGTTCGTCAAGTCTAACATTCACCAAACTCAGGCCCAACTTACGACCACGGCCAATATCATTGTGTACTTATGTCATTATTTGGTCCGGACAGGTGGCACGCGCGCTTGTGGCTTACCGGAATTCATATGCTTAACTACACTGTTAATAACCACCAAACAATTCATATGCATTTCAACTCAACAAATAATCAGTTCTAAAAATTACAGATTTAATTTAAAATTAAATCTCATCGATTAAATAATTAACCGATTTTCCAATATAATCTAGGGGTTGAACCTCGTATCAAACTTGTTTTTGTTTGATTTTCTTATAATATATGCAAAGTTCTATATTGATTTGTGTTGATATCGTTTTGTTCATGTATATATCAAGTTGATTTGGTGATTTACAAAGAGATCTTAATAAATAAATTCAAGTTTTTGGCCCTATTAAAAGTTAACACAATGGTTATGCTGAAGATTTTTATTTAATACTCTTTCCGTTCTAGTTAGTGTAGATACAAAAATTTATGTATAATTAGCAAGTAATTAAGAAATATATTAGTAAAAATAATTATTATATAATCCAAATAATATAAATTAAATTTACGATAACTAAATAATTTAATTAAAATTAAAAAATTATAAATTATGAAATTTAAAATATTATTTCAATATATAATTATAATTTTAAAAATAAAATGCAATTTATTTGGAAAGCCATACAAAATAAAACAAATATGCGTTTTTGTTATAATTGCCGTTAAGGTCAAATGCATCAAACTGATATTGGACGAATGGGAAAGGAATTGGTGAAGAAACCAACTCGATGGGAGCCTAGATTGTAAGAAGCTTCCTCCAAAGTCCAAGAAGCCCAAAAAGTCCATTTTTTCAATTTTTTTTTTTTTTTTTTTTTTTATTATTTCTTTTTATCAATGTTGTCGTAAAAGACTTTTTAAAAATCTTATTTGTTGAAACGTGTCCAAAAAATATTAAATAACACAAAAAGATTGAGTCCAAAAAATGAACCCCAAAACAAGAAGTCTAAACATGTTAGTATCCAAAGCCCAAGAAGTCCATTTCTTAAAAATCTTTTTTTATCAATCTTGTTGTAAAAGACATTTTAAAAGCTTATTTGTTGAAATGTGTCCAAAATATATATTAAATAACACAAAAAGATTGAGTCCAAGAAATGAACCTAAAACAAAAAGTATCCAAAGCCCAAACTAAACTTCTAAAAAGCAGGAAGACAAGGAAAGGCCCAAACCTAAAAGAAGCCTAAAGATGCATAGTTTAAGGGGTTTTATGAAGCCTATCGATGATGAGAAATTTTTGTGATGAATTGAATCCTCCCGATTCAATTATTCAGGATAGTCTTGAATAATTTACAGCCGTCGGATAGGATAAATGATCGACGAATAAGATTTGCAAATAGGTTAGATCGTATAATTTGATCCCGTCAGATGTTTAATATTTATCGATCGGGTTTGGGTAGCAAAAACTGCTCCCGAAATTCTCATGAATGGCTACTTGCATGCAAAACTTGGTCGCAACATGAGGCCAAGCCCTTGTAAATTCACTTGGGTTTAGACCTCGAGGTTGATCCTGGGTGGGTGCGTGTGTGGAGTAAAAGAAAAAAATCAGAGAGGCGAGAGTGAACGAACAATTGCAGTTGTTTTCAAACTTAGCCGACGAATGTGTTTCAAGAACTGAGATAGACACGCAGCAACAACAACAACACTAACCGCAAAAACAATGGCCCGGAAATTCTTCCAAAGGGCAAGAGAGTCTACCGAGATGGTTAGGATCGTGTTTTCGATCACCATCTCTCTATCATAATCGAGAAAAAAAGAGATCAAGCTTTGAAACTTCTACGAAACAAAACCCCATATCATAGCCCCTTCTACGCCGGCCATTTGAGCTCAAACAAGTATAATGTACATAACCAATTTAATCGAAGGCCTCGGGGTGCATACCTTTCCTCCGAGATTCTATGTGTTGGCGGATTGCAAAGGTAGCTTCGGGTGGTGATGTTCGCCTTCGTAAGTGACAATGAGCATCGAAGGATCTTCCAACGACCTCTCCACATGTTTTCTTGCTGGACAGCCTCTCATGCTGCTACATTTGTAGTATCCCCTGAACACACACAACCGACAAAGAATTTCACGATACATCCATATACATTACAAGAAAATAACATTTTTGCAACGAAAAATTTTCATCCTTAAATTCACTTTTTTCGTTGCTAATAAAATTACCGACGGATTCCTAAAATTCTAGTAGCTAACGCCGTCCATCCCTAATTTCCGTTACAAATATATATATATTTTTTTGTAGTGATAGGTTCCTTTGTAAAAATTGTGGAGACTGAATTTCAAAGCTACAAACTATGAGATCCCAATATATATCTTCACCACAAAAGTAGTATCTAAAGGTCTAAATTTGGTCTCATACTATTTATCATTTTTTTCCCCAAAACTTCGAATTATATACACAAAAAAATCAATTTATTCGTTCATACTATCATGTCAAGCATCTATTTAAATCTTTAGTATTCCTAAATTTTAAAATCTAAATGTTAAGGAAACACACCCACACTATGAAATTAACGTTGAGAATACGCAAATGCATATTTTCTTCGCGGACAGTTGTGTCCTGAAATGGCATGATAGCAACAAATACACTACAGCATCAATCAAGGCAACAGCAAAGTGAAGGTAGCTTATAAACAAACTAGATTGCAGCAATTTGAAAGACAGTAAACACCAATTTCACCGACAATCAATAACACGAAAAATTTGCAGTAACGAAGGATTCAAGCGCGCAAGATCGTCAAACAATACCTAGGATGAGGGGACCCTTTGATCGGCTTCTGACCATATTTCCTCCAGGAGTATTCATCATGGGGAATATCGGCTAACTTGTTGCTTATAGCCGGCACTTTGATCGACCTTTTCACCCTGTGCTTCCTGTTTTCAATCCACTCAAAGTTAACAAATCAAACACAAAGTTCTATAATGAAATCAGGCATTCAAACAGAGCTTTAACACAAACACCTTTTCTTAGAACAATGGCATCTGCTGCTGCTCGCACACTTGACACTTCCGTCCTCACCCCTACCGGAGCACCTTCTCTTATGGTGGTAGGAGGTCTGATCCACCGAGCGAGGCGTGCTGATTAAATGAAATGCACTACCATCCAGATTAGCGACGCTTCCATCGACACTCAATGAGGAGATAAATGATCTAGTTGACGACATTGTCGGCGTGCAGGTAGAGCTATCGAAATTGAAACTGATGCCGCTGCTACGATAAACTGTTTCGGCATGGTGTTTCAATTGCTGAGTCCTTTGCTGCTGAAGCAAATGATAATTCGGAAACATCGCCGCCGGTGTCTGCGGCTGCTGCGTAAGATGCAGAGGAACTTTTCCATGTGAGCTGAGCTCCAAAGAAGTTCTTCCTAATGTGAGATCACACTTTCTATCATGAAGACGAGCACTCTCTACAGGATTAATTTGGAGAAGATGGAGTGGCTTGGGATTCTGATGATCTGTTATACAAATTGGATTCTCTAAGAAAAGATTCTGTGGAGATGGAGCCTCAACTTTCTTAGCCTTTCTCACTCTAGGATTACCATGATCAGAGGCGGAATTAAGAAGAGAAACGACTCTCTTGAACTTGTTCACAGCCACCCCTGTTTGCTCTGCTAAATCCCTAACCTGATTCTGATCTTGAGGATGAGACAACAGATTAATCACTCTGTAACAGCTCTCAATCGCTGCACTATTTGCTTTCTCAATTTCCTCCATCATAAACTGAAACGAATTTCTAAGCAAAAAAATGGTAATCCGAAACCCTAGAACTCCGAATTCGACGGCAACATTACGGCAGATAAGGGCGATAACTTCGAAACAAACGATGCAGCAAAAACAGGACCAATTCCGCCATAGCAATCGCGAAACAAATCAGGAGGACAACACTATCTACACAATCTGAAAATCAAACATGGAAATAAAAAAAAAATTGAAATGAAATGAAATGCAAACAACTGCTTGCCCTACCAACCACAAAACTCAGATAGCAGAAAAAGAAGAACACATTGGAAGGCAGCGTAAGAGTGAAGGCTAAGTAGAAAAAAAGCAACACAGCGCGGACCTTTAGTTGGACTTTCGGAGGAAAATTGGTGTCGCCACAGTCGAATCTTTCAATTTCTATGAAAGCAAAAAACAAAAAATCCTACTGCGTTGAAAGGTGTGAAACGGAAGACCAAACAAACTTTTGACAGAGAGCATTGAATTTCTTCTTCCAAAATAAATTTAAAAATACAAAACAGTCGTACTCGAGCGAGAAATCGACGATTTCTGGTGCAGTCACAGTCTCAATCAGACGTCGTCATAATGATGATGATGATGAGGAAGGTCGCTGCGGAGGAGGAGGAAGGCAGTGAGATTACGGAGTGGCGTTGGGAGAATGCATTGAATAAACCTGAAAAGAAGAGAGAGAAAGGGAGATATAGAGAGAGAGAAACTGCCATGGCAATGGAAATGGCAGAGGCATTCATATATCCCTGTATGTATGTGTATGTTAACGTGTTTGTTTGTTTTTTTTTTTTTTTTTTTTAATTGATTTAAACAATTAATTTAATTTAAAATTATCAAAAACTTATAATCAAAATTTCCAAACAAACACGTCCCTTGGATTTCAAAGGCGGGGCCCACTATTTGGACTCGTTATAATTATTGCTCTTCCTATTTTCTTCCCACTTTGTTATTTTAATGTCACACACACATTCTCTATTTCCACTCCCTTCCTTATTATTTCCACACTCTTTTACTATAGGGTTTTTATGTATTTTTAATGCTACGTATAAAAGAATTATATTGATTATATAAAAAAACATTTTTTTTATTAAATTATTAATTTAATGAATTAATAAATATATAATTTTAATAATATTTATATGGAATAGTTGTACTTAAACTATTAAAGTGAACGAACTTTTCTTTTAATATTTTAAATAAAAATAAATATTATTTATTTTATATAATTTAATAAAAATATTTTTTTATTATATAAAATATTATTTGAATAAAATGATATATTAATATTTTAAATAAAAATAAATATTATTTATTTTATATAATTTAATAAAAAAATATTTTTATTATATAAAATATTATATTAAAATGTTATTTGAATAAAATGATATATTAATATTATATTTAAGATAATGAAATTTAATAAATTAAGAATAGATTATGATATTATTTAATTTGTTATAGGAGTGTTTTTTATTTATATTTTTAAAATAACAATGTTTTTAAAATTATAAATATATGTTTAAATATTTTTAAATATTACATTTTAATAAAATATTAATATTATTTTGTAAAGATAAAATTTTATATAATAAAAAAAATAAAAAAATATTTATTTATAATTAATATAAAAATATAATATTATTTATTTATTTTGTGATGTGAGAGTTAACTTATAATTGTAAATTCATAAATATAAAAATTTGAAAAAAATAAAATATATATTATTATTATTAGAATTACAAGTTCACTCTCACATCACAAAATTACTTTTTATTGATCAAAAAATAAAATAATCCTTTTTTTTTTTATTTCTGTTCATATAATTTCTTACATGAGACCCACAATTGCTACTCTTTCAATGAGCTTTAGATATTTTCGATCAAATCTAATAACATGTAAATTAGACTCGATAAAATAAATCATAGTAGATAAATTATGTTTAATAAATAATGCGAAATTTAAAGTCATAATTTTACAATCACAAATTCAATTCAAACAATAAAATAAATGTTTATATTAAAAAAAATAAAATACTGTTTTTTTTATTTATTAAATACTCCCTCTATCTAATTTAATTTGTCTATTATTTTTATTTTTATTTATCCTATATAATTTGTTATTTTTTTTTAAAAAAATATAATTATACATTTTAATTACATTTTAAATTTTATATATAATTTTTTTGATTTTAAATAAAATATTTAATTATTCTAATTTAAATTATAATTATTTTTAAGTTATTCAATACTTAAATTTTCTTGGCTAAATTTAAAGTTGACAATTTAAATGAGAGAGCGAGGAAATATTTATTTATTTATTTATTTATTTCTTATCAGAATAATGAAATACTTCTTGGTTGGAGTTGATGTGGCTTGAATCTTACTTGGCTTCGAAGGGTTTCCCAGCCCTCGGCGCACATTAGAACAGCAATACAACGCCCCCACTAACCTACGCAGGGAACATTCTCCTTCATTTTAGCCGTTACAGCGACGGCCAACGAGATTCCGCCACGCAGGCGAGGTATCGTTGTGGAGCCGACGCGTGGATAGGGAGGAGTATTCCAGTGCTGCGCGTTTATCGTGCAACCGGTTTGGACCTATCGTAACCCGGTTCATGTGGACCCTCACAAGTTCGGCAGCCGTTGACTTTCAGGACACACGTCCTTCCCAAGTAAAATAAAATAAAATAAAACATTCATTTCGTCCCAAATGTATATTTTTGGACACAAAATTTAAAAAATATTTATATTATATTAATATTCGGTAAAAAGTAAAGATACATAATTTTTTTGTCATTGTGAGTATATTATTGTAAAAAATAGTAGCAATTATGTAATAATAATAAAAAAATGGGAATAGTTTTATGGTGATAAAGTTATTTATGAAAATGAAACTATTGTTTTGAGACAAATAAAAATGAAAAATAAAATTATTGTATTGAAATGAGGTAATTAAAATAGAGATATTAATTAAAATGTCGCAATCAACAAACCCACAAAACCTAGGTAGTATTCTTTTTTATAAGCTTAAAAAAATTTTGATTTAAATTTAATATTAAAATAATATATAATCAGATGTTCTGTAAAAAAATATATATATTATTTTTTCGAAAAATATAAAATTTAAATAGTAAAAATTTAAAGTTTTTGGTATAAAGAAACGCACCCATAGACCTCGTCATAGATATTATTGATAGTTTGAATTTTTTTTGAAATAGTAAAAATTTAAATGTTTCATGTAAATTTTTATAAGATAACATAAATATTTAATATTATAAATTCTAAATATAGATAAATAAAATTAATTTTTATAAAATATTAAAAAGAGTGTCCATTATTATTATGGAAGAAGTGAATAAATTTTAAAAATTACTGCTGTTAATTAATAAGTATCAAAACTTAAGAAAAAAAAAATGTTGTCAAATAGTAAGATGACGGAGTATACGTCAAGATGGGTTCTTACTTATTAATATAGGGGACTGTATTTTATTCTTTCATCGTCAGATTTGTCAAAATTGATTAGCTCGAGATGTCACTTTTGAGACATATCAATTTATTACTCCTCATTTTATAATAAATTGTCTCTAGCAATATTTATAGACAAAAAAAAAAAGTTTAGATAAAATATAATTAATAATAATTAAGAAGTGTATATAATAAAAATAATTACAAGTAAAATTAGAATACTTAGTAATTTAATTAAATTTAAAAATTATTAATTAAAAATTTAAATATAATTAAAATGTATAATTATATTTGAAAAACAAATTATATAGAACTAATAATATGAATATTTTTTATGAAACCAAAAGAGTATATAATAGTACCCAATGTATATTTTTGGATAGTAATTACGAATTTTCGTGTTACAGAAAAATATATATATATAATAGTACTATTGCATATATATATATATGTTTTATATTTTATTTAATTTTTTCTTGGCCACTTGTAGTGTAGTCACATGAATACTATTCATGTATACAGTTATATATATATATATTATGTCACGGGAAATATAGAAGTTAATATTCATCAAGTGTTGAACTCGTCGGCCTAGAGGTACAAGGATTAGACTTGTGACCATGAGGATATTATTAATGTTGTGATAATATATAAAATTATAACAAAATTTTAAATTACATATAAAAGGTACAATTACTAAAATAATAAATTAATTAAATAAACCAAAATAACAAAATTGATAAATTAATTCAATATAGAAGGAATAAATTTTCATAACAACACTTAAAAATATTAAAACTACAAGTACTACTTTTTCTACCTATTCCCTTTTTTTGAAAAAAAATCAGAATTTTACTAAATTTTTCATAGTAACAATTAAAAAAATACTCAAATTATTATATAAGTAAATATTTTTATTAGTTTTTATTTTTTTTATAGTAAATATAATATATATAAATTTTACTGAAAAAAGAAAACATTTTTAGACATAAAATAAGTGTATATATATATATATATATTTATGAGCAAGAGAGTACAAAAATCTTTTCATTCAAAACTTCAAATCAAAGAAATTTAGACTCTAGTGCTTTCTTCATTTTCAACATATTTCTATCTATATAATTGGGGGTATTGGGGGGGAGAGGGGGGGGGGGGGAGGGGGAAGGTTATAAAATTTCATTCAAATAATGTTACAAAAGATACCTTTCGACTTAGAACTGTGATTATTATTACAAAATCATAGATAACAGGACAAAAACATTTCCTCTTCAAAGCATGTACAGAAGTATACACTCACTATGTCCTCTCGTGTTATCTATGATTTTATAATAATATAAAACCGTGTCAGCTACAATCTCCGTTAATTACTAACAAATGGAGAAAAAATTTGCAATACTATCTGTATCACAGAATTTTTTTCAGCATATTTCGCAAACCACGGGATTTCTATTTTGCTATTCTATGAATACATTTTCCTATTACCATAATTTCCAAAACTTCAAAATATCTTAACAGAGGCGATCATTTTTCCAATCCAAAGCTTAAATATAGCTAAAAAGAAGCATGTTCTTGACAGGGATTTGACATACCAAAATGGGATAATTATTCAGACACTCTAATGCATACATCACTTCTTGTTTGGAAGGAAAATGGATCTCTTTCTCTTTTCCATTTGTAAGAAAAAACCATGGCAGCACAAGAACAACTCACCACCATTGTTTGGATGGATTGGGAGTGTGACAAATAAAACAAAAACATTCATGTGCTGAATCAAGAACTAACTAACTAACATAAATTTCATCGAATAATTTGTAATGGAGATGACAAAATGTCGAAGATTTGATCGATGCAAGTCAAGATTAAAGAGAGTATTGATAAGCAGCAAAAGTTCAGGCAATCCAGGATCACTCGAAACAAAAGCAATGAGAATCACCTGAAATTCTTTAGATTTCATAAATTCGATTGTGTTTGCTGCCTGAAAGCTTATCCAGATGACGATGAAGTGGTGCACTATTGTTTCCGGCCCCTTCCTTTCTTGGTTGGCTGTGCTTCTGTTTGATCTTTTCCTCCAACTTCCGAGATGTCAGCTGGCGAATGATTGCATAGGACAATTTTTATAGTTAGCATTTCAAACAAGTAAGGTATTCTCGGCAAAATCCAAAGATAAGCCCTGATAGAACTGAAAATGCAATTCACAGTAGTTCTATTCGCAGTTTAACAAGACTACGTAAAAAACCTGACACAGAAACAGGAGTTTAAGGCAATCAATGAGCAAACTACTTTGGTGTTATACATATACACTAATTTGATGTGCGCAAAGGAGGATGGATATGAAGTTCGCATTTTTCCCCTTATTTTTTCTTAAATGATAACTATTTTTTTTATTAGACTCAAAATCCTGGATTTACATAGCAATCAATTCATATGTATAATAGGCACTTGGATGTGAGATGTGTGTATATTAGCATTCGGACAATATTGGAAAACAAATTAGCCTGACAACAATAATTTTTATGTCGAAGAAGACTTGGGGAAATTTTTCTGAAGCATGGCAATCAATAAATCTCAATATCCCATGAAGAATCCTAAATATATAAAAACAAAAGATCATATTAATGCAAGAGCAAATTCTGAAATGCTAAGAACAGGTTTCCAAGGAAATAGGTAACATGTGATCTTAGTTAGGGTTCTGGAATCTTCGGTAAAAGTACGAATAAGAAAAAACATCAACACATTTTTCTTCCAGAAATTTTTCTTCTACTCTAGAAAGTGCTGGTGAATTGAACAATTCCAAATCTAGATATATATTTCATATATGATCCAAAAAGATTGTTCATCATGTTATTTTCTTTGCTGTTGTTTAATTCATGTATGATTCGGATTATTACATAGCTGACGAGTCTCTAAAGAAGAATGTGGCTTTGAAATTGAAAATCAGCAATAGAATGTACTAGAAGCAATACGTTACTTTGTTCATGGATTTACAAAAATGTATTTGATTGACAGCAGAAATTATCTGAAGCAACACAATGGACTAGAAAATTGAAGAGACAAGTTTGTTAGTGCAGCGGATTGAGTACACTCAAACGAGTTTTGCTTGTTTGGCTGTATTTTAGGGTGTTTTGGAATTAGTTTAAAAGAAAATGAATCGAAAGTTTGATGTAATATAAATAGGTAGTTGATGTGATGTTTTGAATCAAACAAGTACAGTTATACATAATATATGAAATAAAAAATATATGATGTGATGTTTTATGAGAAAATTCTTTTATTGTAGATGTATAGTGAATACGAGGCGTAGAAAAAACATAACCAAATAAACTCATATCTACGGTTTGTTTGTTTGCATTTTTTTTCCCAATATTCAATCAAACAATGCCACTAAAAAACATAACATCCAACCCTATTAAACCTCAAACTTGTATATACCAACTGTAACAAAACACACACACACACACACAAGAGTAAACAAACCTCTAATGACTTGTTCAGACAAGAATTCAGACATCATTAGGAGGAAATGTGGATACAAAGAATAAAAAAGAATTCGAGGGAAAATGTGATGAATGATTATGGGCATTAGGCATAGGCACCACTCTTTTGGATATGCATGTACAAACTGTCAAGTAAAAGACACATGCTTACATACTGAAATTTTGTCCAAAATCGGTCTTTCCAGATTATAAAGTTTAGAACTCCCCTATTTTAGATGAATAATGAAGTGGAATGTACTATAAATTTAATTACCAACCATACAATGATCGTTCTATTCAGAGGGAACCAAAATATCTCAAACCCAACCCCATGAAATTCTCATCCCTGTCCTATCCAAGTATCCATGCTTTATGTATGTAATTCAACACTTAAATGATGATGAAACAATGAAAGATGCAGTTGACAAGTGAAACCAATACCTTCAGGTCCACGAGCCATCAAAGTAAAGAAAATATTGTTTAGCTTCTCCATCTTCTTCGCATCCTGTGCCTGATCCGTCTTAAATTTGATGCACTGATCAGGAACAAACGAATCAAGCAATTAAGATAATTTCCAACTTAAATTTCTTAACTTAATTTAACACGTAGGGCTTCTTCATTTCATTCCAAAGAATGACAAAATAGTATTATGAACATGGAATGCGGACAGTGACGTGACTAAAACTTTCAAACACAAAATATAAACATTAACATAACCCAGATTGAGAAAAAAAGATGAACATTCACCTGGATGGAGAGATGAAACATTGAGTTATGTTTGGATGGGCTTTTCCCCAAATATTTTCACTAGTCACCAAAAATTCCGCGCACAACCCCCCCTCCCCCCAAAAAATCAAATCATACTCATTTTTTATTTTGAATATCATACAAAAATTAAATTTTAGTTTAAAAACATCACATCAATATATATTTATATGTATCATGTCCAACAACTATTCAAAACCCAAACCTCCACGTTGTGTTTGGTTTGGTTTGTGTTTTAAACACAAATCTAACACTAGTCATCTGCACGGTTCCCAATACCAATAAAACTACACCTGTTTTATTTCACAAAACATCGTGTCAAAATCATATTTGAACCAAAACTCAAATAAAAAACTTAATTTCAAATCAAAACCAAACAAATTTCAACATAATATCTTGTAACTAACCCAAAAAAATAAAAATCAACTTTAGGTTTGGGTAAAGAGTTAGTGGCAAAAAGCAGTAGTTCATGCCAAAAAATTTCAACTTCAAAATCAAAATTCAAGAGAGCTTCTGTCGGCGGTGAAAACAGATTGATCATTTTTATCTAATCATGGTATTAATCTTAAAAATTCAACCAATAAACAACAATTCAAGAAGGTAAAAACAATCTCAAAGCACAAATTCCACCAACGCTTAGAATCTTATTTCATCCATTCCCTTGAATCAAACTGACAATTCACTTATTTCAATGCAAACAAAACTACTAGTCACGTGGTGCTGAACTCATCAAATCAAATCAAACAAACACACAAATCGGCACCTTTTCCAACCCCAAAATCTTATGCGCTAGAAGATGAAGATCAACGAATTCAAAAGGGTAAAGAGTTTCGCTGTATTACCTCTTTATCATCGGTGACTTTTAGAACCAATTTTCCATCGCAATGCCTGTATTTCATCGCATAACGAGTCTTCGACACCCAACAAACGGAAAACCATCAGAATTGCACAGTTCATAGATAAGCAACACTGAATTTTCAAATCAAAACAAGTAAAACGGCGTACGGTTCGAAACAAGTATACCTTTTCTGGATCAGCGCGAAACAATTGGACGGATTTTTCCACAAAATCATCCCAAGATGCAATGTAGACCATGATCCCGAGACTGATCCGTCCTGCCGATTCTATATATCTATGCAATTTGTGCAAATTTTTGCCGTGGCTCAGACGCCGTCGCGTTGGGAGAGATTTATGCGAGGTTTTCCCTAATACTACTGCACAACTTTTCGTGGGGTTCCTCTTCAACGGCGTCGTTTTACATCACCCTTCACTATTAGACACGCCAGAAGGATATTAATAAATAATTAAATAGTATGTTCGCAAAAATAATTATTATATAATATAAATAATTAATTATAAATTAAAAATTAAAAAATTTAATTATAATTAATAATATTATTAATTATAAATTAAAATATATAATTAATTATTTTAAAATAAATGATGTGAAATTGATGAAAATAAAAAAAATAAAAATTTTATATGAGATAAAAAAATAATATATTTTATTTGAATTTTTTTTTTTTAAATCTTTAAATTTAGGAGGACAATGTATCTAATCAAAATAAATCTACTATTAAAATGTCATCTAAAAAAAATTGTCATTGTGTCATTTAAAATCAAATACTTTTTGGCATGATTAGTTGGTTATTATTGTTTTAGTTGTTTAAATAGTAATTTAAATATAATAGTTTATATAATAAATAATTCATTGTTTTTAAATTTTTATTGTTATCTCAGGCTTAGATTTACAATAATATATATTTTAAAATTAATATTATATATTTTATTTTGTAAATTAGCATATTATATATAAATATGATTTGTTTATGTTAGGTTGAAATTCAAATTTCAAGATATAGAATTGCATTTTTTGTTCCAAAAATTTTATTTATGCCAGAATCTAACTTTCAAAAACACACACAAATCACTAGACAAGGAAATTAAAGCATATGCATATAATTCACTCGTTCATCATCAAATTACCAATGTAGAAGTAATAAACATTAAAAACATCCGATATCCCTCTCTTTAAGTGACACATATTGAGAACTAATTTTCTTTGAGTCACCGCCTTATATGGTCGAGTAGAGTGCATTTCAACTTCATTTTTAGCCCCTTGAGCAATATGATACAACGGATAGTGACGAAATTAGCATTTAAATTTCGGGGATAAAATGTTACTCATTTCGTCTCATAATTAGATATTCCTTTGCTTTTTGCACGCAGTTTTAAAAATATTAATATTATACTGGGATGTAGAAGGAATAAAGTAGAAATGACTAAAATAAGTATGTGCTATATAAAAGTAATGACATTTGTGTAATACTATATTGTAAATTGTAAGGGTATTTGTAATGTTACGTATATAGTACAGTTACTAAAAAAAGAAATAGATATTTTGTTATGGGATTAAAATGGAAAAAATAAATACTTTGTTATGGGACGGAGGAAGTATAATTTATTTAATATTTAACTAATAAATTTAAATAAACAAAATAATGATAGAATTATATATGAATTTAGATAGTTTTGGGGAAGCAAATTGTATATAAATACATAAAAAATTAATATTTTTAACACTAAAAAAAATCAAAAAAATTGGACTTGGGGTCAATTGTCCCCCAAGCCTTAGTGTACTTCCGATTCGTACTCAAATATGATGACGTGTGGTTAAACTAACATTCAGACCAACTTTCCGATCATATGAACTCTTTAGTAATTTGATCATCTTCTAGAAAAGATCCATGAAGTATTCATTCACTCAGTTTACATATCTCACTTTCTCAACTATTTTTTACACAATGCATACATCAAAGTATATAAAATTCTCACAAATTTTAGTCAGTTACAAACATATAGGTAGTTGATTGCATACAAGGTTGTTACAGTGTCTATATTATAGTCAGTTACAAACACACAAGTGATTGAATACGTACAAGGTTGTTACACTAACTATATAATGAAACTTTAAAAGAATTCTGTTTCAAGGAATTGTAACTTAGTATGACATGTGGTCCCCACCTCATCATCCAAAATAGCATCCTTAAAATATTTGCAATCTTCTATGCTAATTCCATATCCATGTGGATTGTTCTCAACTCATCAACCAAAATTCTTATAATAACATCCTTAAAATATCTACAATCTTCAGTTCAATATCCACGTGGATTATCCATTATCCAAAATTTTCACAATAACATCCTTAAAACATATGTCATCTTTATTGTGTATCTAATGCAGTCAATCATTCAAAATCCCAAAATAACATCCTTAAAACATCTGCAATCTTTTGTGTTAGTTCAACATCCATGTGGATTGTCCCCACCTCATCATCCAAAATTCTTATAATAACATCCTTAAAATATCTACAATCTTCAGTTTAACATCCACGTGGATTATCCATCATCCAAAATTTTCACAATAACATCCTTAAAGCATCTGTCATCTTTATTGTGTATCTAATGCAGTCAATCATTCAAAATCCCAAAATAACATCCTTAAAACATCTGCAATCTTTTGTGTCAGTTCAACATCCATGTGGATTGTCTCCACCTCATCATCCAAAATTCTTATAATAACATCCTTAAAATATCTACAATTTTCAGTTCAACATCCACGTGGATTATCCATCATCCAAAATTTTCACAATAACATCCTTAAAACATCTGTCATCTTTATTGTGTATCTAATGCAGTCAATCATTCAAAATTCCAAAATAACATCCTTAAAACATTTGCAATCTTTTGTGTTAGTTCAACGTCCATGTGGATTGTCCTCACCTCATCATCCAAAATTCTTCTAATAACATCCTTAAAATATCTACAATCTTCAGTTCAACATCCACATGGATTATCCATCATCCAAAATTTTTAAAATAACATCTTTAAAATATCTGTCATATTTACTGTGTGTTTAATGCAGTCAATCATTCAAAATCCCAGAATAACATCCTTAAAATATCTGCAATCTTTTGTCGGTTCAACATCCATGTGATTGTCCCCACCTCATCATCCAAAACCCCCAAATTAATATCCTTAAAACATTTGCAATCTTCTAAGTCAATTCAGATTTTATGTCTACATATTGCATGTACATTCAATCATCCAAAATTACTGGAATAACATCCTTAAAATATCTATCTGCCGGTCTTCTGTTGAACTACTTAAATTGTCTCTACTTTATCTAAAATCCATAACATAACATCCTTAAAACACCTAAAATCTTCTGAGTCAGTTTAGATTGTAAGTTTATCGGTCAATCATCCAAAATTATTGGACCAATATCTTTAAAATATCTGCAATCTTCTATTGAACTATGTAGATCACCGTCTAAATCCCCAATATAATAAAACATCTAAAATCTTAAAATCTGCAATCTCCTGTACCAATTCACCCTCAATATGAAATTTTGACTTGCAAAATTTTTAAATTGTATATCTAATTTATTCGAATCACCTTCAAACAATATGGACTAGAATCAACATTTAGGGTCTGTTTCTTCTTGGCCAGTTTGGGAACAAACACAATGTTTAAACCCAAACCGAGCCAGCTCCCAAATGTCTCACATTTGCTGCCAAAATTCAGCTGCCATTTTGTATAATTTTTTTTTCAAATATTATATTTATTTAATATTTATAATAATTATAGGGTAAAAAAATATATACAATAGGTTGAGTATAATATAAATTCATAATCAAATCATACAACATAAATTTTATCAATTAAATTTAATACACATTTATATTATTTTATTCATTATCCATCAAATCAATACCCATCAAAACTCCAATAAAACCCAAACACAAAAAGAAACAACAAAATTCAAACTCATCCTAAAATTCAAATAAAAACCAAATTAAAACTCAAATTAGCCCAAACCCCTTAAAAAAAAAAACAAAATTGCCCGTAAGTCCCTTGTGGTTTCGAAACTCAGCGTAAATTCCCCTTTTACTTTAAAAATTGCGTGACGTTCCCTTATACTTTAAAAAATATTGCATGAAACCACTTTGTGGTTTTGAAACTCAGCATAAATCCCCATTTTACTTTAAAAAATTGCATGACGCTCGCTTATACTTTAAAAAATATTGCATAAAATCCCTTGCCATGCAAAACATATAGATAGGAAATCATCTTCTTATCACACGAGGAAAGTTTCATGGTAACGGGGTTTCATGCAACATTTTTTAAAGTATAAGAAAGTATCGTACAATTTTTAAAGTACAGGGAGATTTTACTCTAAATTTTGAAACCACAATTTTACCCAAAAAAAAAAAAAAACACACCCTTAGTTTTTATAAAAAGAAATATGTATTATTATTTTAATTTAAAATATCTAAACTAAATAAAGGCTTAGCTCTTAAGTTCTGAAGGTCAAATGAAGTAATAATTAGTCTTAAACCAAACAAAACTAAAAGAGGTTATCAAATTTTATTACAAGTCATTTTTTTATTAGTCAATTCAAAGTTCCATATCATTTCGGCACCGCTGTATTTCCTTTTTATTTTATTTTTAATTAAAAATGTTATCATATTCGTACCTGGACACGACACTCGAAGCAGGACCACCCAACGGCGTCGTTTTGAGGATTCATCGTTTTCCTAGACACGTTTCCGTCAAAATTACCTTCTATTAGGGTTTTTCCCTCCAATTCGCACCAGATGACGTCGACCGGATACAGTAGCCTCGCGCCGTACATCGGCGGCGGCGCCGGCGGCAATGGAAACAGCAGCGCCGCCTTCGTCCGAATCAAATCGCGCACGCATGAGATCTTCGCCACGCGCCGGCCGTGGCGCGAGCTGTTGGCTCATCCGTCGTCCTACTCCGTGCCGACCAGCTTCAGCGAATTCGCATCCAGATTCAAACACAACCTCGCGCACTTCCGCGTCAATTACGCCATGGTCGTGCTGTTCGTCGTCTTCCTCAGCCTGCTGTACCGACCGATCTCGATGATCGTCTTCATAGCGGTATTTATCCTCTGGTTCTTCCTGTTTTTCTTCCGCGACGAGCCTATCGTCGTGTTCGATCGCATGGTAGACGATCGCGCGGTGCTGATTGCGCTCGGAATCGTCACGATCGTCGCTCTGCTTCTCACGAACGTTTGGCTGAACGTTCTGGTGTCGCTGTCGATCGGCGCGGCGGCGGTGGTTCTGCACGCGACGTTCAGACTCACGGAGGATCTTTTCCTGGATGAAGATGAGATTTCCGGCGGCAGCCTTCCCTCCGTCGTCGGAGCCACTTTTTGAATCGAACAGTCTTTAGGTTTTGATAAACGCCTGTGGATGAGGTATGTGCAGATACACTAGAAATTGCATTCAATTCGTTAAAGACATTCGAATGTTTCTACATATACTCCTTCCCTCCGTCGTCGGAGCCACTTTTTGAATCGAACAGTCATTAGGTTTTGATAAACGCCTGTGGATGAGGTATGTGTAGATACACTAGAAATTGCATTCAATTCGTTAAAGACATTCGATATACTCCTTTCAGTTGTCAATTTTTGTAACCAAAACAATAATATAGAAATAAAAAGTAATAAAAATATTTTTATATATTTTTTTATTTATACAACATTATTAATATAATAATTAATATTCAAATATATAACCGTATCAAATCGAACAATAAGAAAAACAAACAAACATAATTTGATTTGAAGAAATGTGCATTGACACGCATAATAACTCTGAGATCCAAAAGATAAAACTTAAGATCCAAGTGCAGTATATAGATGCATCGTCTAGAAGTGTGTAGAAACTTCTTGGCGATTGTTTGGTAAGTTCTGACCTGTATGAAATGAGCAAAACTTGTTTCGGAGGTTCGGTTAAATCGAACATTTGTAACACAACACAACGCCAACAACAGGTGCCACCGGGTATCACATTTTGCCGACTCGGCGAGCATAGCCCAAAACCATTACAAATTCCTTGGCCGAAGAACCAACTTGAGCAGAAACTCGATCGCTCGTGGTTGTTTGGAGCCATAGATCGACTAGATTCCTCATCGTCAATGTCGGGATCACAGTCTGGCCCATGCATTTTATTTCGACCTACAATAAGCAGACATGCAAAAAAAATCACATAATTTAAGATGGATATCGACCATGTTGACGAAAATTTACCTCATCTTCGCCGATTAGAGCTAGCTTCATCTTGAGGTATTTCTGGATAAGGGAAACTGGCATATTACCATCCCTGTTATGAGAATTAAATAATCAAACTTTCGAAAAGCTACATGTAGAAAGATAAATTGATGCTAGAACTAGTCTAAAAATCATCAAATATGGTAGGAACAACAATACACAACCAAAAAACGAAAGAAAGAAAGAAAGAAAAATACTCGATCATATGATTGAAGTTTGATAGATATCATAAAGCTGGGGCACGAATGATCACACGTACATGATTCCCTAAAAATGTATACAATATATACACACAAAAATAAACGATAATAAAAAAGCACAAAAATGAACAAAAACCACAAAACATTATTCTCTATAATACTTTCAAATTTTATCACGCATTACAACCAAGACACCTAAAACTATAAATACTAAGCAAACAAACTCGATCTATAAGAGTTGAATTACAATTTATTTGGTTAATGTAAGCAACCATCATATTAGACAGCAGCAAATTCATGAACATTTTTCTGGAAAGAAGTAGAAGAACAATACAAGTACAATACAAACCATAGAATGTCAGTCACTATTATAAACTAAATAAATCTAATCCAGTAAAACCTTGATGCAAATTTGAATTTGAAATAAATTGAAGTTATGAACTACAAAGTTGATGAATCTACTTGGCAGATCAATCAACAAGGTTTATCTTTCCACAAACCTCTTAGATAAGAGTCCAACTATCGACAACCCTATTTCTACTGAGAATTCCATCAGACTGCATTCTGGAAACGTCGACTTGAATTGCGAAGCAATAAAATAGTTTAACCAACTAAACTATTAACTACCTTTGCAAGAGACTCGCTTGTCTTATTGAAACCAAACAAAACGTACCTCATGCAAATTGCAGAGGCATTATATCATTACTTCTCCAGAACATAGTTAGTGTTAGTTTTGAACAATTACTAGTTTATAAATGAAGGAAATTTCATAGGACACATGTTTAGGCAAACTTACTTTATTCTTACGAAATTTGCAGCAATTTGAGGCAACGGGAGCACATCGCCATTCCTGAAAATGTGTGAATTAAATCAGGAGATTTTGTCAGTACTAGGTTCAGTCATTCAGAATACACAATCACTGCAACTATGGATAATAAAAGCTTACCGTTCATCTGAGATCAATGAAAACCAAATAGGATAATTTGCACGGTCAAATTTAGCACTGGCAGCATTAAGCACGACCTGGGGTGGAAGCCTGAATTCTCCAAAATCTCGTGGCTTCTTGGGACGAGTTCTATGGAACTTTTCTGATGGTGGGGGGGTGTTATCGCTTCCGGTCTTCTCATCTGGAACTTTCGACCTCTGACCATGTACTTTATTCTTGGTTCTATAGGAAGATTCAACATTGTCATGAGGAGCTTCTGATTTAGAAGCAGACCCTTGATTGCTAAAATTTGAATACTTGCTCCTATTTGCTGCCTCCAATAAACAATTTAAAGGTTTCCAGAGTGCAACGTCGCCTTCCCTAGCCTCATATCCATTCTCTTTTCCGCCATTAGGACTGGGGCGTTCAGACAGTTCACCAGGACCATAACTCTACATCCACACACCAGGAAGTATAAGAGTAGTATTTGCAATGTGCACAATGTTAATATGGTCAAACTCTACACAACTATACCTGCCCCGCATTCCGAGCAAGTTTGTTTGGTGGTTCTGGTGAGTCAGAGCTCTCAGGGTGATCAGCCATGGAATCTTCTCTCTTTGAAGGTTTCTCCATAGTAATCCTTGTTCCCTTTGACGCTTTTCTTGTTGTAGACTTTGATCTTCTTCCTGTCAGTCCATTCTGGGTTGACACTCGGGGAGTGCTGACCACCAAGGATGAGAGAGATCTTTCCTTTCTCTTGGAAGGCAATGTGATAGCAGTCTCGACTTCAGGGGCTCGCGCATTTATCCTCTTAGAAGGGAATATTTTTGACCTCACATCTTGCCATTTATGATCCGCCCTGATGAATAGAATATCAGAGATAAAAGCAGGGGAAAGAAGTCTATAGGCATCAGAGTTCATTGACAAATTATATGCACAGAACAGACAACCTAGATTATAGTTCCTATTCACTTATGACTATCCACCTTCAGAAAGAGGTATTTAACACACATCAAATGTCCACTGATTAATTTCAGAAGCCCAGATCAAGTAGAGCCAGAGTTGGCTGTTGTGATCCTATTTTTTACTACGAATCTTGTTGTTTTGTGAGTTTAGTAGACTGGTGTTAAACAGAAGGATGCCCGGTCACAAGAAATACAACATTCATAAAAAATTAAGATTAGAAAAGGAAATTTAAAAAATTAAGAAAAAGAAAGAAAGCTACTTCTCTTCATCTATGTGTAGCCAATCAATCGAAATCTCAAACCAAGAAAAACTATCCTCCATCCATGACCCCTACCTATTGTTTGACACTACTAAAGTAAGGGGGAAATTTATAAAAAAAGAAGCTAAAAACAAATGAGTGTAAACGCACGTTAAAGGATTGCTAAGGGTCTGATAGCATTGTTCAGGTCACTAGCATTGCTAGAGTGATATGTGATCATGAGAAGTTCATATGTAATCATTCTTGTCCTATAAAGGATTAAGAGGACTGTACAGACAACTGTTTTACAGTGCATGTGAGTCTATTCTGTTTGTCCCGAAGCAACCTATAGATGACAAAATCAGTTAAGTGAAGGAAACATATATATATATATATATAGAAGAGGAACTGACCTCAGCTTTTCCAATGGAACACAGCCCAAGTGAATGTTACATATAGGACAGCAGTCCTCTTCCTCATCTGATGATAGCTTCTTGTATATGCACTTCCTGCAAACTGTAGTATGGAAATATGAAATTGGATTTATCAGCCCACAATATAAAAACCTTGTCTTTCTATGTCTGAAAAGGAATTTATAAAGGTCAAAGTCGCTCAACAACATGAGACCATGTGCCAGCTACCCGTCTCCATTCCTAAGATTTCAGGTGCAACACCATAAAAGCAAAAGTAGCTCAAGCACAAACCACAGCAGGGTGAACAGAAGAATTAATTATAAGCTTGCTCAGATGTTTTGCAACAATTTTCTTCTGAAGACATTAATTTCATCTCAAGCAGTCAAAGTTTTGTGCATTGCTTTTAGTGAATGTCATCACAAAACTCAGCACATTACCAATGGCAAGTATTATATTTTCAAGTCACATTGAGGTTCCGGACTTAGCCGGAACGCTGTTGGAAAAACAAATAAGACAATCAACACTTGAAATTAACCAAACTTAGGTGGGACACTGAAAATGAGGCAAACATCTTATTCTGGTCTGTAACCAATGCCATGTAGGTTGTTATGCTTGGGAATTCCATGTATGAATCAAAGACATTCAATAACAGGTGATCAGATTTAAAAAAACAGATATCTTATTAAATATCCATAGAGGCGCTGATTAGAACAGAACTACACAACTATATTTACATGCTCATGGAACCAAAACAAAGATAACATCATAACAATACAAAAAATCCAGATTATCCAAATAACTAGAGCAACCTGCAAGATGAAAAAGGCCCAAATCGCAACAAAATCGCACCCCAATTACAAAAAAAATCACCACACAAGAATCAAACTAAAATCACTATCTCAGCAAAAATTAGAAAACCAAGAGGAGGAACAGAATCGCTCACATGTATGAAGACATTCGATTACTGTGGTGGCATCGTGGAGGAGCTTGTGGCAGAGCGGACATGTCATGCATGGCGCCACCGCATCCCGCTTCACTTTCACAACCTGGTGCGACATCGTCCTACCAAATCCACACCTGAATCAAACAAATCAAATTTATCGACCTCCAAACCACGTGTCTTATGCAGTGCATGCCAACACTGCCACATGAGTACTGCCATTTACGTCCATTCCTCACACCTCTGTCGCAATACCTGCATTATAATCGAACACCAAAGCCGCAAATCATCACCGGAAACAACCTCCTCCGCAACAAGCACGCCATAAACACAAAAACAAAAATAAAAATCCAAGCGATAACAACTATTATCGGAATCGGAAACAGTGAATTACCACAAAACAAAAAAAAAAGCCTTCAAACCTGACTAAAAATATACTCCGCAATAACTGGCTGATTTGGGGAAAAATATACCTCCACCAGCGACGTCTTCAGCGCCGACGCCTCCTCGCCGATCTGTAGAGAGAAACGCGAACCGAAATCTACTGAGAGCGAGACGACAGTGCAGAGGGCGCGGCGAGGGAGAGAAGAAAGCAGCAAAGGCTCGGTCGGCTGTGACAATTAGCATGGACCAAATGAATTCTTCAAATGACAGCCTTGCCCCTCACCGTAATTTATTGTCTTTCCGCCCAATCTATTAGAAAATTGTTTTTGAGTTATTTTTAAGTTCGCTATTAAATCTGCTTACATACTTATATAAAATAAATACATTTTGTTTTTATTTTAAATATATTAAAATTTAAGGGTGTATTTGATTTCTTTTTTAAAAAAAATTTAATGAGTGAAAAATATAGAAATAAATAAAGATTGAGAAATATAGGGTGTGTTTGTATGTGGTTTTAGGTTTTAAGTTTGAATTTTTTAATAGTAAAAATTTGAATTTGAATAATTGTTTGATGTGATATAAACAGAGTTGATGTGATATTTTAAATGTAAAATAAATTTGTAGTATAATATAAAAAAATAAAAATAATTGTTTGATGTGATATTTTTTTTAGAGAAAAAAAAATCTGAATAGTAAAAATTAGTATTGAAAACCACAAAAGAACATAATCATCGGGTGTGTTTGTTTGTGGGTATGGGGTTTTGGGTTTGGATTTAAGAATAGTAAAAAACTGAATTTGAATAGTTGTTTGATATAATATAAATAAATTTTGACATGATGTTTTGAATATAAATTAAATTTGTAATATTATATATAAAAAAAGTAATAGTTTAATTTGATATTTTTAAGAAAAAAAAATTCACAAAAGAATATAACACAGTACTTTCGTCTAATGTATGGTGAAATGTTTTGTTTTTAGGTATGAGAATTTAAGTAAATAATTAAGTATAATAAATTAAAAATTAAATAATATGATGAGAAAAAAATTTATATTTATTTATTTATTATTTGAGAGACCGTAAAATATTGCAAATTATGTGAGAAAAATAAAAAATATTTCTAGGTACGTGAAAGTGGGAGAGAGTATATATTTAATTTTTTATTTTTACTTTTTAACTTTTATGATTTTTTTAAAAATATACTTTCTCCGTCCATGCTATGTCCATGTTGCCGTTTTTATCCGTCCCATGTATCATGTTACTTTTCTTTTTTGGAAAATGATTACACACTTTAATCTCATTTTAAATTTTTAAATTTTATTTTTTTAATTTTAATTAAACTAATTAGTTATCTTAATGTTAATTTATAGTTATTTATATTATAGAATAATTATTTTCAGTGATACATTATTAATTATCTACTAATTACACCCCTTCTAAAATACAGTGTCTACAATGTAGATATACTGTATCTGGGACGGAAGGAAGGAGTACTAATATTTTTTATCTCATAAAAATTATGTCCAAATAACTATTTAAAAACACTAATTAAATATGACAATATTTTTTACATATTTCTGCTTTTCTTTGTTATCATTTCTTTTATAATTGATTCATTTTCTATTTTTCCACTAGCAATATAGTCTACTCTAAATTTATTAATCAGATTATTGTATTTTTTAATATTTTTCAATTAAATTTGTTAATTTATCAAACAGATTAGTTCGTTTTAATTACTTGCTACTTTTTTGATAATTTCATTTTTTATACAAAAAGCAACAGATGAATGATAATGGAAAACTAAAACTCATTTCTTTCTTTATTTGTTTGAGTCGGTGAATGAAATAAATCATTTCATTTTTTTATCATATAAATAAAAATAAAAATAAAAATTGAGGAATAAAATATAAGAATCACATAATGTGTTTATTTGACATTTTCTTTCACTATTTAATTTTTACAATTATCTATAAATATATATATATATATATATAGGTTTTAGATAAGAAATTTCTTGAAAGATTTAAAATTTTAGAAATAATAAGAGAATTTGATACTCCATCATTCTGTCTCAATACAATAGTCTTATTTACCATTTTTGTCAATACTAAAAACAATAGTCATATCACTATAAAACTACCATTTTGATTACACAATTGTCATTACTTTCTACACTAATACACTCACAACGACAAAAAAGTCTTTTATCCATATTTTTTGCCAACTACCAATATAATGTGTTCAACTCAATTAAGACTATAGTTTTGTGATTGAGGGAGTATTTGATATGATATTTCATAAAAAAAATAATAATAATATTTCATTTTTCTAATAGTAAATTTCTCATTTTAGTTTGTCTAAATTAAAATTTCTCATTTTTTTTTTAAAAAAAACATATTTCACTTACATAACAAAATACTCATATTTTTTTTATTTTTCGCATCACTTTAAATTTAATATAAATGATAAAATACACGTTACACTACTTTATTACACTATATATCTATAAAATACTAATTTACTTTAAATCATGTGAAAAATTAAATAAAAAACTTATTTTTGGTCGGAGGGAGTATCACAATTTAAAATATTGAAAAAGTTTAAAACACTCTAATATATAGTACTCTCTCCGTCTCATATTTATATATCTATTTATTTTTTATACGGAGTTTTAGAAATATTAATATTATATTGGAATATAGTCGAAGTAAAGTAAAGATAAAAAGACTAAATTGCCCTTATTAGTATTGTATGATATAAAAGTAATGACATTTGTGTAATATATTGTAAATTGAAAAAATATGTGTAATGTTAGGTACAGTTACTATAAAAGAAAATGAATAGTTTATTATGAGACGGACGAAAATGAAAAAATTGATAAATTATTAAGGGAGGGATGGAGTATTTAAATAAAACATATGATATCTTCTTAAAAAATATATATATCATGTCTAAATTATTGTTTATTTGTATGCATATTTATTTATTTTAAATACTATAATATACTTGATAATTATTTAAATTTTAAAATAATCAAATTAAAAATATATATAAAATCATAATGTATATATATATATATATCATGAAATACATTGATATAAAAACAAGTCGAAAACAAGGGGCAAACGAGTCCAAGGATAACATGCGCCGCAGTTCATCGTTAAGAACGAGGACGTGAGTAGGATTATGCTTTGTTTTAAAAAATCGGAAAAAATAAATAAATATGAATTTGGATGAAAAAAAATGTATTTATTTTAAAATATTATATTCCCTCCGTCCCGGTGCAAAGTTGCATTTTACTTTTTGCACGTAGATTTTTTAATATTAAAATTATAATGGGTTGTAGTAAAAAAACGAAAATACCCCTATATTGTGTAATACAAAAGTAATGACATTTGTATAATATAGTGTAAGTTGAAAGGATATTTATTATGTTAGGTAGGTAGTACAATTACTAAATTAGAAAATGGTAACTTTGTTTTGGGACGGACGAAAATGGAAAATGACAATCTTTCAATGAGACAGAGAAAATATTAAATATATATGTTTTTTATAAAATATAATTTTTTTCTACTAAAATATTAATTTTTTATTGTTTTTAAAATTTTAAAAAGAAAATTGTGTTTATATATAAACTAGAGCTCGTTTATCCGATTTATATATGATTGGCATGATTTTCTTTATACTTTATTTATTTAATAAAAATAAATAGTTCAACATAAATTATTATTTTTATCCTTTAAATTTAATATAAAAATTGATTTATTAATGATATTTAATTATTTAATAACAGTAAATTATGATATTATTTTATAAATTTTACATAATTAATAATACTAATAATTTTAAAATAAAACTAATATATAATTAAAAAATTAAAATATATATTTAAGTATTTAAAAAATCACATCACAATAAAAATATATATGTAATATAGATATGAATAAAATTTTATATAACACAAGTAAATAAAAAATATTTTTATTTATTTATAATTAATATAATGTTATAAATCATGATTTATGATGTTATATATTATGTAATTAATTAAGTTGATTTATGACTATTAGTTAAGTATATTTTGATTTAGTAAATTTTACCAAAAATACAAATATAAACTTAACGCTTTATTTGAAATGTACAATTTTTACTGTAAAAGATATATTATTTAGTATTTATTTCTCTTTTATATATTATTTTATATAACTTTGTATATTTATAAATATATTTTTTATTTTAATTTATTATTACATTATCATCCAACTTTAATGAAAAATATATAAAATAATTATTTCTAAAACAAAAAAATTGATACATTACTTTCTAAAATATAAAAAAATATAAAATGAGTATATAGTATTACAGTCATGTCATGGTGCCAGTATTAAGTATTAATTTTGTATAAATTTTTAAGATTATCATCTTAACGAAAAATGTTGAATATGTACCACATTGATAAATATGTGGGAACTCATTTATAACGGTGAAAGACCACTCCACGTATCACTAATTGATTTTAGGTTAGAAGTCTGAATCTCTTTTACCAGTTACCATCTTCCTCCGGAATGACGACTGACATTGATGATGGCTTGGCTGCCTCTAAGTAGGGGTGGACAAGAAAATAAAGCCGAATCGTCGAACCGAACTAAACCTAATCAAATTTTCGGTTAATCGAGCAAATTCGGTTCAAATACAAATATTGCATATTTGATATTTATTTGATTCGATTGAGTTTTTGTTTTTGATATTTTTTTTCAATTCGGTTAACCGAACCGAATATATTTATATTTTAAAATTTATATTAATAATTATATTCGGTTCGGTTACAGTTTGAATATATTGAGATATTTTAGATATTCAGTTTTAGATTTAGTAGATTTATATTCATAGATTAGATTATTTAGATTTGAGTTTATCTGTGTATTGTATTGACTATGTATAGACTTCTTCTTTTGATGATCAATAATACAATTTCATTATTTTTCTCCAAAATTTCTAACAGAAAATTTGAAATATTTGCAAATATTTAATTTAATTAAAATTTTAATTATTTTTTAATTCCGGCTTGGTTCGAATTATTTGCAGATATTTTCGTTTAATCGAAATTTTCGCTTCAGATACGATTTGAGATTTCAGATATTTGTTCGATTCAATTCAGCTATCAAATATCTGCATATTTGTAAAAACTCGAACGGTATCCACCCCTACCCCTACCCCTACCCCTTGGATCGACTTAGCAGACCACTCCATATCAAGATAAACCTCCTTTTGCCTTCTTCTATCCACCTAATTAAAAGCTTTTATTTT